AATGAAAATAAAAATAATCAAATAATTGCTTGAAATGTTTACTAGATGATAATTTTTTCGAATTAATTCTGTACCTAATATTTAATGTGCTTATTGAAAATAAGGGGAATGTTCTATGTTACGAGCGAATTTAGATACGACTGCACAAAATTAAATTTAATATCCCATCAGCGTCGCCACGTTAAAATGTAGTCCAATTCCCCGAAGGAAATTGTAAGAATGAGAAGTACGCCATTACGAGATCGCCACGGACCGTTTCACGTTTCTTCGGATTCCGTGGGATTACATTTACAATATTAACCCCACCGCGGGCTTGGAACTCATGGCAAATAAAGTCAGTTCCTGGTGAATCGCAAATAACTTTGCGTTAGGACGCTAGAAAATGAAAACGTAAATAATGCAAATTAAAAATTGCACCAATAATGTAGTGCTGTAATGAATGCGGATTTTATTTATACGATGATAATGAGTTTGTTCAACGAACTTCGAAATTTCTGAATAAACGTGGGCTCTACCTTGAAGTCAGTAATATTAAATAAAATATTCCGTTTTGTAAGTAAATCCTATGAAACTGCATTTGATTAAATTCTAGATTAAAGCATAAAACTTTTTGTTAATTTTATGGGTCGAATGTTAGTTCATTTTCTGGACACTTTTCTGTGAAGAAATAATTTCTAAGTACGATGTAGAGTAATCATTTGAGTGTTTTGTTACAGTCTATGGTAATTGATCATTCATTTTAATTTAATTTTGTCCCAAAATGAAACAAAAATGTTCGATAGTCTAAGGGTCAATTAAAGGTGTTCATGTTAATTGTTGGAAAACCACCTTCGGAAGTATCTCATAATATGATTACTTTAAATGTCATAGTAGTTTACTTACAACCTATTTGATTATGATCACTTAAGGATTCCGTGTAGCAGAAAATGCGAGGAAAGTTCAACTGTAATAATTTCTTTTGATAACGCAAAGATAAAATAATTAGCAAAGAAGTATTTTCTTTAACTTCTTAACTGTTATGCCCATGACACATACGGGTGAATTTACAAAGAACAATATTAAATGACATTAATTTATTTAAATTCAGAAATACAGTTTACTTTTTCTATATAAACGAAAATCTTTTGTTACTATGAATTGAATGGTAACAATTTTGCATTCATAACGAAATATAAACAAGATTAACTTAATTTGAAGATCATGAATAACATTGTTCATCATGAAAATTCGGAAAGTGATTAACGTAATACTTAAATCAATGAAGTCTTCTTGAAATCTATTCGCAATTTTGCAATTTACACAGTTTTGTTAGCTCCAATAATCCGAGATATTCGGCCAAATACATTTCTCATTCTCAATTATAAGTCCCTTTTCAAATCTAAAATAAAGGCGATAATCGACGAAACAAATACCTGTAACATATTTCAGTAAAAACAACTTTCCAACAAAGTTTCATAAAAACTCCCGTATAAGTAATTATGAGATAAACATTTGTAAATACACAAATGCACAAAATAAATATCCAAAACATTCAATTTCTTAATCCATCATTGATTACAACAAGAAACATCCTTTTTTATTTGTTATTTAAGGTCACACGCACCTATTAAGGAACATTCTTATTAGATATTATTATTCATTGCTTCTTTTTTCTATCTCTGTATTACATTTCCCTACAGAAAGCTCGGCTATCAGCGATCACGTATGTATTTTCATTCCAACGAGTTTCGCACCGTTGATACGAGTGACGCTTCACGCGAATTCAGCTGAAAATTTTGGTTCCTGTTCCATGGCGTACGCGGAGGCCAGCTGGAAACTGTTAGAAATTTTGAAATTGAAGTCTCATCCAGAAATGGCGCGCTAAAGTTCCTCATGGCTTTGCAACGTTGTTAACTGTTTGACTCGCCGCTTCATTCACGACACGTTTACGTATATACCAGTGACGTCATGCTAAGGGCCTATGCACACGAGCGACGCGATTCCGCTGTGATTTCTCAGTGGTGACGTTGGCGATTTTACACACATGTACCACGTACATAGAGCAAATTTCATCTTACACAACATACACAATTAAAAAAGGAAGAAATATATGTATTTGTCATCCTCATCTCTTGTATTGGAATTGGCGATCTCAAGGTACCAGAGATGGACCTACGAAGCCCTGGTATGGACGAGATTAATATAATTACTACGGTGTCCGAGTACCCAACGGCTTCGGCCGTGCAAGACATAGTTTGGAGAGCCAGTAGACTCTACCAAGTAGAGCTTTGGAAAGTGAGCGGAACGCTACCAACAGCGATTAGCTCCATCGACCGCCAAGCTCAGAGTACACAGCAGCAAGGAGACTCTCCCACTCACGATGCTCGGACCGCCTCGATTTTTGGTGCATGGTGATTATTGACGTGCGGCAATAACAAAGAACGGAAGCGATACCGAATACGACGGAGTGAGGCAGAACTACAGAAATGTATTCTTTATAGTTCGTTCCGTTCGCTTCCGTTCCTTGTTATTGCCGCGCGCCAATAATCACCATGCGCCGAAAACAGAGGCGGCCCGAGCATCGCGAGTGGAAGAGTCCCCTTGCCCCTGTGCACTTGTAGCTTCATGGCCAATGGAGTTACAGTGCGTTACTGACATTGATACCAGCCGGTCTGTGGCTTAAAAGTGAAGGGGGACAAGGGAAGATGTCCACTCGTGGCACTTGGCCTAATAGTGATGGCGAAATTATTTTCGGCACGTCTTTGTTACTAGCTGAGCCGCGAGCTGAGGTGGAGTGTGCGGACGAGTCCTTTTGCCCTTCTTCACTTTTGAGCCACAGGCCGGCTGGGTTCACGTCAGTGACGACACTGTAACGTGAGGAGCGTATAGTACCACCATGGAACACGTTACTTCCGGGAATCAACACCAGTAAGGTTTCAGCCTCGCCTGGTTGGGCCACATCCCAATCTCACGCCTATGGGGATCCTCTAAGATGCTTTGGAGATCCCACGTTTGCCCAGCCGATCTTTTGGTCAGAAGTGAAGAGGAGCAAGGAGACTCTTCCACTCACTACGCTCGGGTCTCGGCGTGCGCTAATAATGGTGCGTCCAAAAGCCGAGCGTTGTGGATGGAAGAATCCCCTTGTTTATCTTCACTTTTAAACCAAGGATGGCTTGACTAACGTGGGATCTCCACAGTAGGCCTAACGGCAGGCATTTGGAGGAAAACTAAGGCTCCCTCTATCATCCTTGTCACGATTCGTTACGATCGCGCAGTGATCGTTGTGATGTTGGTTCTGCGGTTTGGAAAATGACGTAAGATTAGAGGTGTCTAACTTACTCTCCTCACGCTAGTAACTTGGAAACAGTGTTCCCCACTACCTTTATTCCACGAGCTGCCCGAGACTGTGTTTGTGAGCGGTTCTATGTAGTGTTCGATACAAACAGGTAAAAGTAAATGTGTGTAAGATCATTGCCACGTTGTTTTCTCAGTCGCGCGGGATCGGGTTGCTCGTGTGCATAGACCCTAAATCTCAGTCCTACGCGGATCGAACGTAGCTTGGCGAGCACACCGGGAATTCTCTTGGTCCGGAAGACTTTTCACGTTCACGAGTGGAACGCCGATTAACTCGAGACGCAACAAGAACAGCATTCCCGATGAACAGCTCGAGGGACACGAATGGACGTAAAGAACAGACAATAATATAGCGTCTGCGTCGTTTATCCTTTGTTCTTTCAACAATTCTTGGAAATGAACTAGGCTGATTAATCGTAGATAGCTGTATAAGTTGATTTTTCGAACAGAAAAAATTGATGTGAAATTATGCATTGTTTTAAATGGAACGTTGTATTATTGAAGCGCCGCTTCGAGATACTGCTTCTCGATACGAGACAATGGAAATAGAAATGAGACTCTAAGGTGGTCGCCAATGTGTGAATTTATGAGAAGGATACTGTACTGTTTGATATCTCTCGGTATAGACCATTCAGGTGTGATGTATTGTAAGGATTACAGTAAACTACGGGTGTTTGTGCATTTATAGGGCATTCGATACTGTGGGGAGCTCGGTAAAAATTGTGTAATCGTAAAGTTTTATGAAGTTTTTACGTGGTTTTAAGTATATCGAAAGTCTTTAGGAAAATAGAATTTAAATTTATTCTAGAAAGTGCTTAATATCTTGGTATTGCATGAAGATTTATAGTTTACTTATAACAAATTGTTAGATTAAAGATATTTGATAGGACTTAAGATTATTCGTTGATAATTTTAGTATTATTTCTAATATTCATAATTTATGTGCGAAAATTAAATAAAAATTTGTATATTACAATACTTTTTGTCTTCAGTAGTTCATTAGCTTAGTGAATTATCTATTATCTAGTATCTATTATAAATTAACTATATTTAGTAGGTTCACTAGAATACTTTATCTATTATATTTGTTTCTTTGTTTTTTATTTCACTAAGCAATAACAATTTATTATATCAAAATTTTTAAAATTTTTAATACTTTTAGCAATCATGAAATTTTCTTATTTAAAATTATTTTTATTGTACAGTGAATGCCACAACAGTACCTTTCTCATTTTCTCATGTAATCCTTTATTATAAAAACAACCTGATACGATAATATAGAAATATAAGTACAGGCTCAAATGTAATTTTGTTCAGTTTATGATTAAAAATCGGGAACGTATAGAAATCGTGACACATTGTTGAGCATAAAATACCATGCTCCCTTCGAAAATTGTTCTAGTTTCCTACAGGCCAGCCGTGGCATAAGAGTGTTTCTAATAAAGATACACTTTCAAAAGCAGTGAATTTAGAACACATTCGTGTTATATGGCGATACAAACTTTTCTTTAATGCGTCCATGCAATCAACTGCGTTCATTGAATCACCTTTAAAGCAAAACAATTGCCAGCTTAAAGGGTTGTTAAAGTTGCAAAACACTGACCAGTCACCCGCCGATCGAAAGGAATCAAGTGCACAAGAAATAATTGAATTTGGCTTTCACTTACCCTGGAACTCTTTTCTAGCCGCGCTGACGGAAGTAACAATGTTGGCCACGTGCCCGAGTACGGTGGCGAACAGTAGCAGACCAAACAGCAACTGAGCTATTACGAATAAGTATTCTCCTTTGCTTCTCGGTCTGAAAATTAAACAAAAACAAAAAACGAATCGAAACGTTAGTACATTTTATTTAACAAACTAAAATTGTTTGATTTTTTCTAATCTCCT